GGATGTTCCACCATAGGGGTCAAGAGCCACAGACAGCACTTGGAATGTGAGTCCCTCCAAGTCCCAATGGTTGATTTGCACTCAAGCTGCTCCTCATCTGGTATTGGATTTTATTGCAGCAGGATTTTATTTACTTAAGGATGGGGAGAACTGCTGGTTAATAATACATTTGATAGCTACATTTATGATGTTCCAGTGAATCACTATAGAGGATCATCTCATCAAATCCTATAAGAAAGGCACAATTGCTATATTTTAAAATTTTTTTTATTGAAACATAATTGATTGTACATATCTGTGGGGTACAGTGTCGAATAGTAATACTTGTGTGAAATATGTGATGCTCAAATCGGGATAATTAGTATATTCAACATTACACAACGTAAGCATTTTTTGTGACCCTTTACCAATTTCTAGCTAATCCCCCTCCCCCTCCCCCTTTCCCACCTCTGGTGACCTAGATTTGTTCTCTCTTTTTCAAAGTTCAGTGAATTACTGTGATTGCTGTTATCTTTCTTTTTTTTACTTATTTGTTTATTATTTTAGTTCCCATTTATGAGTGAGAACATGCGGTTTTTCTCTTTCTGTGTCTGGCTTATTTCACTTAACATGATTTTCTCTAAGCTCATCCATGTTGCTGAGAATGGCAGAATTTCATTCTTTTTTTACAGCAGAGTAGTATTCCATGGTGTATATATACCACATTTTCCTTATCCAGTCATCCATCAATGGACATCTAGGTTGGTTCCAACTCTTGGCTATTGTAAACAGAGCTGCGATAAACACAGGAATGTAAGTTTCCCTTCAATGTGATGATTTCCGTTCCTTTAGGTATATACCCAGCAGTGGGATTGCTGGGTAATATGGCAGTTCTATCTGTAGTTGTTTTAGGAACCTCCATACTGTTTTCCATAATGGCTGCACTACACAATTGTTATCTTCATTTTTAAGCTGAGAAACTGAGACTAACAGAGAAAGCTGCCCAAGATCACAGAGTTAGCAAGGGCCAAAGAGGTTGATTCTGAAGCCTGAAGTTTTACCCAATCGAAGACTTGTCATGCCCCATGAAGTCCTCATGGTCTGAAGATTCAGTTAACTGAGTCCCTGCAGTTAAGGGGTTCCAGCGGAAAATAGAAATCATTGTCACACAAGTTGTCATAACACTACTGAACTGGCCATTACATATTGGTTTCCACTGAAACATTCCTCCCAGTATAGCTCAGAATCTTCCCCCACTCACAACTGAAAGGACTGGAAATCATGTTGTGAACCTGCCGAAGTACAGTGCAAATCAATTGCAATGCCAAACTGTAAAGTTTTCAAAAGATGCAAGATTTCAGGAAGCCCATGAATGTAACATTGGGCGATGCTCGCATGGAGCCCAAAGCCACTGGCAAGTGTGGGAGAGTCTGGCAAAGCTAGACAGGCGGGCAACCAAGAACGAGGAAACTGCCAAGGATAATGACTGGGTGGCACTTCAACAAGAGATGATTTGAATGTCAAATGATTAAGAGAGGCTCTTGGGAAAATTGATGGAGCCCTTGCACATTTTCATAAAACCTATTCTCTATATAACGGTTCTGGGAAAATCACACACAACAGGAAGGATAATGTGTTGAGATATCATACAATTATGACCCTATCAAATAAACACTTGATCAATTTTGTTGGTTCTACAAATTAACACATAATTGCATTCATAACCTAAAATTCTTGAATATAAGACAAATTCAAGATATTTTCCCTTTTTTTTTTTTCATTTTTCAAGGTAACTTCTTTTGCTCCACTATTGACACTATTATTATTTGATTCCCATTTTAAGTGAATTCACTAACGGGGTCTTTCTTTCCAGTCCAATTATCCCCTTGCACTGGAGAACAGCCCACGGCAGGCAGTGAGATCCTCCTCCATTCTTCTAAGTGTATAAGTTCTATCACCAGGAAGTCCCCTCCCTGGATGACACCACCTCAACCTGGGACAATCTTTGTCTCTCATTTCCTTCATACTTGATCTTTCTTTATCATAGGTCTAGACCCAAAAAGGCCAAACGACAATCCCTTACGTATTTGCTTAACTGTGTCATCAAATCTTGTCCATCTTCTTCTTCAACATCCCTTTTATAAAAGGGATAAGATTATTTCAGAAGGTTTTTTTTTGTGGGGGGTGAATTTCTTGTGTCTATTTGCCTACAGAGAGAGTGCACAAATAGGTGAATAAAAGTGAGTGAACCTGTTGAAGATTTCACAAGGCAAAGCAATACACTGGCAGTTTGTTTGGGGGGTATGTGTGGGTGGATGTGTGTTTAAATTTAGAACCATCAAAAACTTAAGACTTTCCTGAGAAATTGATATGCTTCCTGATTTTTGAGTATTACACTATGACACTCATTATCTTTCCCTTTGTGTACAGCTGCAAGAATGCTCAGAAATGAATTTCCTCTTGATTTATGTCTATTTTGATCATGTTTTGTATGCATGCCTTTTATTTTATGCCACTAGAAATCATTTTGGAAGGAGCATGCTTCATTTGACTTGACTCAGATTGGATAAGGAATCACTAAATCATGGGAACAGGGAGTAAAGACATTAGGCATGCTAAGGCTTCCTGAGGGCTTCAGTGGTGTAGAAAGAAAATGAAGCCTTGACAGGGCTGTCAGGAAACTGGACAAAAAGGCTTGTTAGTGTGGAGTTCTGAATGGGTGTTAATCCCCAAAGGGAGGGTCTCAAGGGTCAGACTCCTCTCATCATCTGCCCAAGACTCCCTCACTCTGACAATAAAATTTCCAGCTAGGAGAACTGGCAGATAAGCCGTATGGGGCTTTCCGGGCTGCCTGGGAGGAACCAGAAGTCATCCCGCTATAGGGTGGGACTGGCCTCCTCTTCCCTTTGTCTGGGCCTCATGTCACTGAGCAGTGACTAGGGTAAGGGTCTGAAGCCCAGACTCAGCACTACCAGCTGAATGACCTTGGGCAAGCCCTCTGAATTTGAACATCCTGTCTGCAAAATGGGGATAACAACGTTTCTACTTAATGGTGTTAAGATTAAATGAGTTACTTTATATAAAGCACCTAGAACAATGCCTGGCACACCCACTAAGTGCCAAATAAGTGTTAGCTATTAATATTGTTGGAATGAGCAGGATTGAAGCCATGTTGGGACCTAAAACCGCATGGGCCATAGGCAAATTTTAAAAAGACATAGTTTTTACCTTGACATGCATTTCTCTGAGTTCCCTCTTTTCCCTGTGGTTTTTTGATAGCTTGAACCTCGGTTATGGGGCAAGATAGACATGATTTATGTAAATGTGGAGTTGTTTTCCAGCCAGCCTGAAGGTGCTACTTGCCACAAGACACATACTACCCTGACACTGACATAACAGCAAGGATGGGAGCAGAAATTAGACAGAGCCTTGGCGAGAATCTGCATCTGGTCCTTTGCACATGCCCCTCCCTCCTGCTTTTCATTTCCCACGTTCCACTCCCTCAACCCCCTCTTAAAAAACCCCTCAGTAAATCTGAGTCTTGAAGATGGCCTTACTCTGGCCATTCTCCTTCAGGTTTACCGGAGAGGTGGGTTAGCCCAGCATCTCTCCTCAGGTCACCGGCATTCCCGAATAAAAACTGACTTCCATCTTCACCAACATCTGACTTTTGAGAGGTTTGCTTTTGAAAGGGGGCAGGCAGCCGGACCTGTGTGCCCTGTAACATTATTATTATTGTCATTATTATTCCCAGGGTTTTCGAGGGCAGAGCCCCCAGATCACCCCACGGGTTAAAGGCTCTTTGTCAAGAGAGCTGCCTGCGCTGGCCCCGAGACACGGAGGGACAAGGTCTCCATCAGCGAGGGGCCCGAGGACCCCCTTCTGGATAAGCCGCAGGTCCCCTTGCTGAGGGCCGAGGGGCCGAGGCCCGGGGGTTGGGCCCGGCTTACGGCGCCCTCAGGGGCTCCGGGACACACACACGCCGAGCCGCTCG